CATGAAATTTAATAATTTAATACTGTGAATTTATGGTTAAAATTGTAAAAGAAATGTATGTTTAAGGTTAAAAATGGAATTAGTCATTAAAATAAATTATTAACTTTGAACCAAATGTCTAAAATGTATGTTAAAATATTTTGTATGTGTTTTGTAGGTTTTTCACCTGTTCTGTTCATTGGTTCTCACTCATTGGTGGAAATAAAAAAGATTGAGTGAATTCCTGAAGTCTTCAAGTCCTTCCTTTTCAAGTGTAGGAAGCCATGAAATTATAGGACACTTGACAGTGGGTTCTAGTAACAAAAACCTATAGCAAAACTAATAACCAGTAAGTAGTAACTTGGTGTAGTCCTGGGGTTGCCACCCGTCCAGTAAAATACAAAATCGTCCCGTATTTGGCTGTTAAATGTTGCGTCCCATATTGAACCAATACAGGACACGATTTGTTCCATATTTCTATAATTATTTGATAGACATGCCTATCACACACATATAAACACTAAATGTAAAAATAATGACCAAAATAAACCACAGGAAATTCTAAAGTCAGCTAAATTGTCGTGGTGGGTGCTACACACTCTGCTGTCACAATTGTCTAGAGTTTGACAGTACACATAACTGGTGATCTGCCATCAACTTGCCTCTTTCTAAAATGTCCTCTTCCCGATTCCATGTCTTTAAAAGCAAAAATTCTTTCAATAAGATAGATGTGAGTGCGAAGATGCACATTCCAGACTGAGCAATGTCAGTGAGGATGAATACAGACAATTTTTAAAATGTGTCCATGGTGGTGATCCATTCTGTCTGAAGAGAGAAACACTGCAGGCCCGTCAGAATCTAAAGAAACAAACATCAGCGTCTCTTCATCTATCAATCATCTCCTGAACATTTTATGATTGATTAAGTGTCTTATTGTGGTTATAGTAGACTATTATGATTTGATTATTTGCTTAAGATGTTGAGTTTGGATATTTATTTTATATATTATAGTATTAGCTAAAATCATAAAAATGGCCATTAAAAGAACAAATATTGTAGACTAACAATAAATATTCCTACTTTTAAAAAGTCTGTTAGGGCTTTCTGTGCGTTTTATTTTGAAATGTTGATATATTTTGTGAATACATTGTTCAGTGGCCATTTAATATTCACTATTATTTTATTAACATGGTTTACCAGTTTGGATAACCTGACTTCCTATCAATGAAGAAAAACATGCAAACTAAAAATGTGCCAGACACAGACCTGCCGCCCAAGGGCGGTTCTAGACAGGGGCCAACAGGGGTACTGAAGAAATTATACTGAATAAATGTCTTTGAGAGTAGAGCAACATGGGCCGTGGTGGGAGTCCCTTATTTTCATTTCTGAAATGGATACACTGCATTAGTGTCCATTCTAAAAACTTTTCCATGTACCAACACATGCAGATCTCTCTAAACATTCCTAACAGCCCATTATATTCAGTGTCCTTTTATTTATGTCCTCTTGGTTTTGTTTTGTTTTTTATGTATTTATTTCTAGAATAACATTTTAACATAGGATATTTGCATATTTTGCCTAACCAGTGTTGTCATTTACAAACTGATGAGACAGAGGTTTCATACTATTGCTCTGGAAAATGTTGAGTGCTCAATTAACATGAATGAGATGATATTTGTAGACCCATGTAGATGTGGTGACTGCAAGAAAGAGCAGTGGTTTATCTCATAGTGACCACCTACACACTTGTAAGGTTTAGCTACGTTACGGAGGGCTGAGTCTCCATAGCTGTGGGTTCAGAGGGAATGTAATACGAAAACAGCCACGGTTATAGTGATCACTGGACCAGAGGCTCCTATGCATCCCCACCTTAGCTTCTCTCCTGCAAACCAGTTGTCACTTTCAATTATTTTAAGTATTCATAACATCTGTTTGGTTTTCTACACTTGACATTGTTCAAATGACTCTACCTAGGTTTTAATTTGTAGCAGGAAACATATTTTTCGAAGTCAGTACTAGGGATCAAGGGCGTAGGAACGAGTCTGTCATTGGGGGGGACGCATATCGGAAACCTGACAGATCAG